CTTTTATTGCTTCCTATTCTGTTCTTTATCATCTTTCATTCTCACGAGATGAAATCCATATGCTAACCTTTCACGCTCATTTCTTTCCAGTTACATGACTCACACGTGCAACGTACTTTTGAGAAAGACTATTCGTCTTACTCATTTCATTATAATATTAGAGTCTAATCGTTATCAAATCGATCAGTTGATTCAGATAGATGGTTCAGCACCAACTATCTTGACTAATCGTCTTTGCAACACCACTACTATTATTTTCAAGTGCCAATTTCTACTCACCAAGAAAAGCATAATCAATTGACGATATTTCTCATTGAAAATGGTATTAATAATACTAATAGTATTGTATAAAAGTGACGAGTATTAGGTTTGTGCCTTTTGTGGCCGTCATGTGATTCAAATATGTATTGATCGTTATTCTCACTCATTCATTTCACTTTTGATCTTTGTGATATGCTGAGCTCTTCGAAATGATGAGATATTACGTTGTATTGATTCGCTATTTGTAACGTTTCTATTTTGTTATGACGATAGAATTGAAGTGCATATTACTGTTATTTGAACTGATAACGTTAAAAAAAAATGAATATGAGTTTTCTTTTACATGAATGTAGGTGTATCAGTACAAGTTCTGGGTTATCTTAAATCATAAATAGTCTGCCTAGCATGGGGTTGGTATCACGGAATTTATTACGATACAACAGCCGGCGTTTCGGCTGTTTCGCCTTCTTCAGAGCCTGCGAAATGTAGCTACAATGATGCTGAGATATTTGCAAAATTCCGGACCTTGGGTGTCTGCGAAAGGAATGGAACTCGCTGTTGTTCCTCCAGGGGTTAACGCGACCACCAGCACACCATGTGAGTCTTCCGTTTTGCCTTTCTCTCAGCTGAAAAGGCAAAATGAAGAACCCGCATGGTGTGGCGGTTAACGCGTTAGCGCCTGGAAGAGGAAATAGCAAGTTCTAATCTCACCGCACATACTTGCGGTCCGAATTTTTTCAAATGTCTCAGCACCATTGTAGTTACACTTCCTTTCACACTTCATAAAAATTCACAGAGAAGAAACAGTACAGTGATTTCATCGTTTATATTTCTATGCCTTCGAGAATATTAGAATGCGGATCTGTGCGTGGAAGTCTCTGAACTCTACAAATAAACTTCTGAATATATAGTTATACTTCTTCAGAATAAGCCAATATTAGCATACGGATAAATTGTTAAGCTTCTACGAGGTCGATAAATCACATTTCTTCGGTTAACATTCCGACGTCTTCGTCTTCATCAGAGGCGATGATCCGAGTGGATGACCCACAGTTGTTCGTCTTCTCGATGTGGTGTCTTCGTCTTTTTATCGAATCGGATCTTCCTCAGTGGAGCATCTCTCGAATGAGCCATACTCACCTTGGTCTTTTCTACAGCTCAGTTGTTGTTGAAATGACAATCAGATTATAACAATTTGTTTTTCTACGGATAATCCATCCTGCAGCAGTCAGTATTATGTTAGCCAGCACATAGTAAGTAGCAGAGCAATTTATACACATGTTGATCATTTTACTACCCGAGGTTAAAAGACGGTCGGTTTGAAAATTGTTTTGCTATTCGCTTTGTGGTAGCTAACGTAATACCGACTGCTGCAAGGTGGATTATCCGTTGAAAAGCAAACTATAATCAATGGATAGTCTTAACAACAAACAACAGCCCTGTATAAAAGGACACTGCCCGGTGTACTTGTCTCATTCGTGCAGTATTTGCTGAAGAAGATGCCGTCCTTGTACGAGTGCGACAACGAAGGCGCCACATCGAGGTAACGAACAACTGTGGACCACCGATAAGGATCATCGGCTCCGTTGAAGACGAACTCGCCGGAACGTCAACCGAATAAAGATAGCGTAATAATCTCGGAAAGTTCTAGTAGCTTCACCAATGTATTTATCTATCTCATGTAGTAGCAGATATGACGAAGAGAAACGAAAGCAAAGAGGTCCATTTCTGAATATCCATAAAGAGAGGCTTTTGGAACGAATGATCGGAAGACGCTGTGTAAAAGTGAGGATTCCAACTCCTGAAAAATATACGGGTCATTAGGTTACACAATATATGAAAAACTAAGGAACGACTTGCCCTCTCAGAAGTAGACAAACAAGAACAATCAATTCCCTTTCAGTAGGTAGTAGAGATGCGTAAGAAAAATATCAGTGACACTGCAGAAAGGAATAATATCATAATCTAAGAAAATCAACTTTATACTAGTTACATCAAATTTCTAAATTACAGTAATTTTTTTTGAAGGAATCACACGACGAAAACCCGGTAATTACACCGTTCATTGAGCTTCTGCCAAATATCACCTATAAAGGAAACGAGATTCGCATCGCTCAATTCAACTTTGCTGGACTTTTCCCACCACCCGGTAGGCCGCCTGCATTTCTTTGACTGCTCACTGCAGCTTTGTTTCTCACTGTTTAAAAAACTTCACCAGAACTGTTCTTCCAAAAAAAGAAATGGAGTGATTATATAGGTGTTGCAGGTGTCGATTCTACTCTTCTTTTTGTTCTAAGAATAACTAAAATGAAGAAGTCGATCACTAGCTCCTCTAGAAAAGGGTGATTTTTTGTAAAGCACAAAATGATGCTTCTATCTGACGAAAGAATGAATATTGAAGAAAATGTAGAACAGTGGTGTATATTAAAGTTAGAAATCTGCTTATGCAAAGTAGGCTTCATTTCAGAGAAGACAAAGGAATTCTGGATGTATGAAGGTTCGGAAACTGTTGAACCTTTTCGTGAAACTGTTCAGTGGCTAGTATTCAGATCAGCCTTACCAATCAGCTCGTTACAGGTACTAAATATAATTACTACAAATTTTTTGGGCGCGTGTAGTGCAATGGTTAGAGGCGCCCTCCAATACATAAAAGATCGATTTCCGCGCCCCAGAGTCACCAAGCCTTCCATACCCCCAAGGATGAGGAATTGGTACAAATTTCTGGAAGGATAACAGCAGTGGCTCACTAAATCGGTAGGCCACCACGGATCATTATAAAGACCAGATATGCATTCAAAAACCTCTAAAGATGCTTAAAGAAGTCGAAGGCATGGCGCCTTCCGTAGGGATTGATCGACACCGAGAGCTTTATCCTTTATCCTTTCTGAACTTTTTAGTACAACATAGGCAATTTCTAAGTAGTTTGAAGCTACAAGTAGGATAAAATGAAGACGATTGAACTAAACGACAAGGAAAAGTGGTGTGGTCAAAAGAATTTTAACGAAACAGAGACAAAAAGAACGGTGAACTCCCTTTTGCACTTTTCTTTCTGTTTCGGCAACAACTATAGCATTTCACTATCTCTAAATTAAGATGTTATGGCGGTATGTCATGATCCCACCTCATCAAAAGCTTTGGACAACTTGCTAGAGGAAAATGAACAAGTGAGTTCGGAGTATATTGTGTCAATAGTAAACGATTGGAAACGACGGCGTTTATGATCGGTTGGACATGAGCACCACTGGACACAAGATCATTACGGCTTTGCATTCCGAACGCTGCCAAGCAAACAATAAATACATTGATCCGTGACAATGGTAATTATTTAAAAGGACTCTGGAAACAAGACGACTAAATTCTTGTTCTTGACGCTTGGAGAAAACATTGAACGACCAGCGAACAAGATGAACGAAGGAGATTTTGATGACGCCGATGGTACATAGAGGCTTCCAGGGTAGCCTATCTCAGAACTCTCAAACTTTCCTCTCTTTGACGAGGCAAAACCAACGACCGCTGGTTATTCATACTATACTCTCATCAATCATATACACATCGCAGCCATTGTCATTTATTTCTATTTGTTCAGTATCAGTTGGCATTCCGTTCAACATCATGTCTCATTTTTAAACTACATAGAAACGTCTTCGTTTTTTGACGAGTGATTAGAAAAGACCTAAACTCGTTTTTTGACGAGTGATTAGAAAAGACCTAAACTTTTTGGCTCTTCTCTTCACATCAATTTCTCTGAAAACAATCTGATTGTCTTCACATTGCAGTTGGATTGTCTCCGTGAAATACGTGCTGGTGGCTACGATGAGGAACGTGAGACATCGATGGTACCGATTCGTTCACCACAATCACCTAACTCGCGTACTGTTGTTTGTAGTTTTCGCTCAGCAGCCGGTGCACCAAATTTTGGATTCAACAAACAGTAATAGTGACCAAATTAGCCGATCAGCTAGTAACGAGTTAGTAGTATAAGCACCTGGTCTCATCTCAAGCTGCTTTCCGTCCATTGGTTCATGCGTTCAGTAGCCTCCATTACGACATCAATGAAAACTTACAAAGAAAATCGGGTTGCTTTTCGACTAGATCTACCCGATATGCATCCGAGTGGTATTGTATGCAGGTTACCGGACTTCAATCCAAACTAAAATTATTAGTTCAGTACCACATTGGTTATAGAGTCGTCAAAAGTTCCAACTGAGGACTGATGAGCAATTGCTATCGGTGCTATGACCGTAATCTCTCATGCTATTAGTTCACGACTTTCTAAGGCTCTCCTTTACGTTGAGTGGTCGTCAACCCTGGACATTGAACGGTTTTAGCAGTGGTGCCAATTGTTCACCAAAGAATGGTGCAAATCATGTAAATTCTACTTCCTTTGAGTCGCCGTCATTTCCTACTCAGTTCTATTAATAAGTAGATCTTCAATCAATACCTATTTATGTTGTCTTAATTTTTCTCTTCTTCATCTAGTTGTGAAACAGAAAACTGGGGCGATAGACAAACGACGATGCAGATCTTCCTTTTCCCTTCCACTCATTTTTTTATCGCTGACCTTTGTTCTTGTTAGGAAGGGCTGGCGCGGAAATAATTTAACAGTAGGTGGAGTTGCACCAGCGATTCACAGCATCGAAGTTGAAAAATTTTCTAATCTTTGATCGTTCATTCGTCCGGTTTTTTCCTAATGAGTGCAACAAACGACTTTGAACTTAAAGAGGTTTTCGCTTAACATCACACTGTGAACGTTCATCAGCTTCATCGATCTTGTTCATAAGCCTACTAAAACGAGCTTCCACCAAAACGATCGACCTGTCCCCTCCATTACTGTCAGTTAGTGTGATCGGTTCAGTACAACCAGAGCTACTAAATTATACAAATACCTATAAACCTCTATCATCTACACCCATACTGGCATACACAGTAACACCTCGGGCTTCACTGTACTTGTTTCATTACAGTATTGTTCATACCTGTGTTGTAGATATCTTGATTATCAACTTTTTGCTTTAATAAACATTAATGAATTATGGACTACTACCAAATATGATCACCATTCAATATGATATGATCTCATTTCAATAATAACTACTCAGTAATCGAACCAACTGAGCCAAGAACACAACCTGTTTAAAACGGAAATTTTCCATTGATGTACAAATTTTATGCAAAGAATCTATTCTATGCATATTTGAGCGAATCGGTTTTTGCTAGCAAGGAATTAGGTGCACTAGAACAAAAAATCTAATTGGCATAAGGTAACACTGGGTCGATAGGTGTGCATGTAGCGCAGGGTTCACAGGCGCCCTACAATACACATGGGTTCTTCGTATTTTTGTTGAGCAAACGCGAGGTGTTAGTATTCTTTATTTACGAATAAGCTGACGTTTCGGCGGATTTCGCCTTCCTCAGAGCCTGAAACGGTCAAGTTGATAGCAATCTACTCGGCCAGACGCCTCCATAATCAAACAAAGAAACTCTAAACCAAGATTTCAATCACATTGAACACAGCTTTGCACACTCACCGCTTTCTATGATGTTTCCACTAAGTATGTCACGTAAAGACCAACCGCACAGAAATCACATGGAAGCATAATGTGCCCCTCCCATGAGAATAGCAGTCTTGTATACTGCCCTATATCACGCGTGATAATTAGACATTCTTCCCTGCGGTTCATTTTCGGATTTCTGGAGTTAATCCAGAGTGCCTCGAGAGTTTTTCGCGCCTGTGTTCTTGATTCCCGTGCGAGGATCGTGACACATGCTTCAAAGTCCTCCCCGTTATGTCTCTGGGTCCTATGCGTGCCTAACAGAGTATTTGGTCTATGTTTGCCGGCTAAGTGTTCATTTATGCGGACACAGAGGGGTCTGCCCGTTTCGTCAATGTATTCGTAACCGCACGTCTTACAGGAGATCAGATAAACTCATGCAATCACCGTCTCTACCACTGGGGCAAATTATGCAATTTTGAGTTGCACATAGACGGTCATATAGGCGGTTACGAACTAGCTGGCGCTTAAGATTACTCGGTGGTATTTCAACTACGCTTACCGAGTTCTCTAAGCCCGCCCTTCTTAAGCAGCGTTTTATAGCAGTACTTATATTATTTGAGATGAAGGGTAGGATAAACGGGACCCTTCGATCGCTAGAGATGTTGTTTGGAGGCCTAGGATTTCTCCTACACCTATCCTGAGCTACAGTTTCGTAGCCATTAGAAATGGCTATTTGCCGTGCCAAGTTCCGGGACTCCTCTCTCTGCTCTCTTCCCGTGCACACGTTGGTTGCTGTTTGAAACGTGTTTCTTATAAGCAATTCTTCGTATTTTTGTTGAGCAAACGCGAGGTGTTATTGTTCTTTATTCACGAATAAGCTGACGTTTCGGTGGATTTCGCCATCCTCAGAGCCGCTTTCTATGAGGTTTCCACTAAGTATGTCACGTAGAGACCAACCGCACAGAAATCACATGGAAGTATAATGTCATTATACTATATTATACTGTCATCCTATTTTACTGTCGTTCATTCATTATACTATATTATACTGTCATTCTATTTTACTGTCGTTCATTCATTATACTATATTATACTGTGACATTATACTTCCATGTGATTTCTGTGCGGTTGGTCTCTACGTGACATACTTAGTGGAAACCTCATAGGAAGCGGTGAGTGTGCAAAGCTGTGTTCAAAGTGATTGAAATCTTGGTTTGGGGTTTCTTTGTTTGGTTATGGAGGCGTCTGGCCGAGTAGATTGCTATCAACTTGACCTTTCCAGGCTCTGAGGAAGGCGAAATCCGCCGAAACGTCAGCTTATTCGTGAATAAAGAACAATAACACCTGCGTTTTCTCAACAAAAATACGAAGAATTACTTGATCAATGCCGAGGTTAATAGAAAGTCGGTCGCGAGAGTTTCTTATAAGCGCCCTTTTCGTGTGAGAGGGGTGAGAGGAGAGGTAATGAACCAAGATGTTTTTACTACTTGGCTTTCGCTACCACTTTGTAATGTAGCCGTTTTCTGACAGGTGAATTTGTACGTTCAGGAATGGAAGCCATTTTTCTTTCGGCTTTTCTCGGGTGAACTTGATATACTCTGACTGTTCATTTAACAACTCAAAACATTTGTCCATTTCCTCTTGTGTTGAGCAAAGGACAAAGCAGTCGTCTACATACCTACAGTAGAGTAACGGCCCGAGGTCAGTCACCGGTGCTTCCACCTTAGACATAAATGCAATGGCAAGGCTTGGAGCCAGTCGTTGTCTCATTGCCAACACTCTTATTGCTTATACATGGGTTCGATCACCGCGCCCCAGCCCCAACAAGCCCTCCATCCCTCTGAGGTAGGCAAATAGGTGCCAGACTTGTCTGGAAGGATAGCAGCACTGGATTGATATATCGGTAGACCAATGCGAGTCATTGCAAAGACCAAATATGCATTCATTCACTACTAACGATGCTTAGTGAAATCGAATGCGTGGTGCATGCTTCAGGGATTGATCAACGCCGACAGCTTTACCGTTTTATCCTTTTTAACACTAGACTACGCAGCACTCATCGTAACAACATGTTGACAACACTCGAGAGGTTTACCGTCAAAACGTGGCTAATACTACGGTGTATTATATGACTTCACGGATTCTCATGAATGAATATGAAGACACCCATCTACTTTACTCAAAAAATTTGCGACGACCTGAAAAATATACGAAGAATAACATTCTTATTCTAAGCAGCTGACAGATAGTGAAGAAGTTTCTTCGCCTGAGTAATTTCACCGGACATTTGAGAGCTCAGGATTTTCATCTGGGTGCCTACCGAACAACAGACCAAGTGCCGCAACCAATCTCTCAAAACTGTAAACGTAAAGTGTATTCCAGCAACAGTATAGTGTCTCATGTACATAAAACAACTCTGAAGACAGACGAGTAGATGGCAGGTGCACTTCCAAGTGAGTCCGTTATTTTTTCTTACTTATAAGGGCAGTCGTCACATTTAATGTGCGAATCTCATCATTTTCTGCATTCGAGTAGTTCCTTTACATCCGTCATCCATGAAAGTTTTCGGATATTAGGTTCTGCTGCTACTAGAGGATCTCTGGTCTTTACGAGTGTCGTTGAGTGGCTGACTGGGCAGTTCTCGTGTTCCCTGCAGTTGCCAGTTTTTACGGATTGGAGGGAACGAGCCAAATTCAGACAAATTTGGCACCAATCTCCCGACTTTTTATAAGTGGAATAGTTATGTATGAGTGAGGGCAAAGCTAAAATATTTGACGTACTTCGTCCAAAACATGCTTGAACAACAACAGCAAATTAAGTAATTTCACGTAACAAATCCATCTCATCCCAATGCTAAGCAGACTCCTAAGACCGACTTTCTATTTACCTCGGCACTGATTGATAATTCGGTATTTTCTTCAATAAGCAGACACGAGGTTGTTATTGCAGAATTTACTAGGATACAATAGCTGATCTTTCGGCGGTTTCACCTTCCTCAGAGCCTGGAAAGGTCAAATTGGGATGCGATCTGCTCAGCCAAACACTTTCATAACCCTAGCAGATAAAACATAACAAATAAATTTGCATTCGCATAAGAAACAGCTTCTTTTGAACACCTACCATTTATTTGTTGTAAGTATTTAAGTTAATTGGTAGATAGCAGCCGCACAGAGTGATACATGGGCAATAATTGTGTCTGTGTCAGGTCATTGGATCAGCCTGAGGTATGGCGCTAGGTCAGGTGTGATGATAAGACACACTCCTCCTTGCGGTTCATTTTTGAATTTTTGGAAACGATCCAAAACGCTTCAAGAGTTTTTCGCGCTGATGTTTTCGATTCCTGCGTAAGGATAGTGACTCCTACTTCAAAATCTTCTCTGCTGTGTTCCTGTGTCCTATGCGCGCCCAGTGGAGTGTTTGGTTTTAATTTAGATTTACCGACTAGGTGTTCTTTTATGCGGACGCAGAACAGTCTACCCGTTTTGCCAACGTATTCGTCCCCGTACGTTTCACAAGAGACTAGATAGACTGTACCCGAACTCATGCAATCACCGTCTCTACCGTTAGGGCAAAGCAGTTTTTCGCTATACATAGACGGTCATATGGGCGGTTGCGAACTAGCTGGGGTCTTAGTGTCCGGTGGTATTTCTATCGCTCTTACGGAATTCTCTAGACCCGCCCTTATTAAGCAACGTTTTATAGCTGCACTTATTTCGTTTGAAATAAAGGACAAGAGGAACGGAACTTTGTATAGAGAACATTCTTCACGAACATTGGAATGTACTTTATGTGAAACATTTCGAATACTTTTCCCATGACCTTTTTCCTATAACGATCTGACAGCCGTATGTCTAACATTTCGTTGGCTGTTATCTCATAAAAATATCTGGAGTTACAGTCCTAGGTTTTGATCATCGCCTTATCAGATTGCAATGCTTGAGAAATGTTTCCAGCACCGGTCTTTCCGCCTACTGCAGTTTGACTCCGTCCAGCGCAAAATGTGTATAAACGGCTCCACGGTTAGCTAGCCCATGTCACAGCAATGCTGCCCAAGTGACCGTGTCCTTCCCTTATATTCATCTCATGTAGTAAAAGTTATATGACAATCTCTTCACTCATAAGCAACCTGAACACCAGTGATCAGACGGCGCCTATTCATTACCCGCATCATTGTTGCATTAATTGTACAGTCGCATTGTTATGCCATAATTGTTGTATAATTACGATAAACGGTTTAATTATCAAGTTTGAAGTATCCGGCATTGTGACTGCTATTCACAACAAGTCCCGCGTGGCACAGACAAAGGCGAGCAGCTTGTTCCAACCGAATCGTCGTAACTACTTGGTATTCCTACATCTATGAGCCGTCCGAACAAATTTTTGGTACAATGGCCGGGAATCGAACCCGGTTCGCCCGCCTGGCAGGCGAGCATTCCACCACTTTTTGGTGCATTGGCCGCTTGAAAGAGGATTCGTCAGGTCAAGCAAGTCACAACCAAGTACGTTAACTCTACAATCATGTCCAACCTAACACTAGCAAGTCACAAAAGGATACTTACACGGTATACTAACCAATTACAAAAAGTTCTAACCCGATTCAAAGACGCGAAGTTAGAAGAAATCAGTATTCTAAACCTGCAAGATGAGATAACGCCCACCGTTATTCACACAAGCCTACAGAAGTTAGAAGAAGGAGTTGTAGCCCTGGAAAACATGACTTCAAAGATTCAGCATGCTCTAGACGAACTCACTACCATATTCGAAAAGACACACGCGACAATACCGAATATTGAAGACGTGTTCGCACAGTACTCGAGTGCCACTGAAGAGGCGATTGGCAACATTTTCGAATGCCTTGTACTCCTTCATGCTCAGATCCATGGCTTCAAGCCTCACGCTGAGCTTCTCAACACATCTCACAAACCCTCTACTACGAACAGTGGCAAAGATGAATCCACCGTCACTGCGGTCATGAAAAATCTGGAGCCACACATTCAATGCCGACAGGCAAAACTACGCAAAAGCCATAGAATTTCTTACTAATAAGTACGGTAATTCTGAAGAACTTATTCGCCAGCCTCTTAAAAAGATGGACGAAATCACCCTTCACTCATCATCCATACAAGAGGAACGCAGACTACTGGAACACATAATCATAGGCCAACTAGTGCAAAAAGGTGGAAATGTCGACAAACAGTGCGTGTTCAAAAGATGCTTTCGGAATCTAACGTAAAGTTCTCCACAAAAAGATTACTTCGCCCGACGAACTCTTCACCATGCAGCAGCTGCTAAAATATTTTGAAGAGGTTATAACCAGCGAGGAACTGATATGTCGCCAGACCACCTCAACACCTCCTCTAGATACAGTTTGCTTCGACAACAAAGCCATACATTGGAAGTCGCAGACAACAAAGCTCTTGTGCATGTATTGCAAGGCAACCATAAGTCTTTCTATTACAGTAAGTGCAAAACACCTCAAAGAAGATACTAGTACCTTCAAAATAATAAGCTATACCATATTTGCGCCTCTCTATCCCACAGCACAGTTCAGTGCAACGAGTCGTCATGTCGTAAGTGCCAGAAACGTCACCACACTTCATGCTGTTCCTTTTCAGCATCAAACGAGAAGAAGTCCCTGACATCTGCGAAGAATACGGACGCTATTCAGCAAACAAAGCAGTCCTATATTACGCAGGTGCAACTGAACATTTCATTCAAACAAGCTCACACTTAGCTCCACAACAGTGCCACCTATTCCAAAACTCAACACACTATTTATATACAACGGAAAGCGAACAGCAATCTGGAACTCCCACATAACGCCACCTCTTAGATGTGCGAACCAAGCAGCAGCTGAAAACCTTAACTGCTCGATGGAAGGCGATTGCATCTGCTATCGAGCGGAAACGCAGGCTAATTGCAGATGTGAAGATGTAAAAATCGCATCATGGTTCAACAACGTGCAAAACAGGCTGCTGATAATCCTCCCTTCGATATCGTTCCAACAAAACCAAGAAGGAGAAATTACTGTACAATTCTTCAGTATGACAACAGCAGAAATGATCCTCAACATTCAGAATAAACTCGAAACCAATATCGTAGTAGATAAAGATATATGTACTGTGGACGATACTGTAGTACAACAGGGATGTTATCGCTGGCGCAAAGGATCAAAAGCACAGGTGCAATGCAAATCATCAAGGCCTATCCAAGCAGAAATAGTACGTCCTTCAGCGATCTTCTCAATACTCTTTGACAACGACGAACAACACTCAATACTCCAATTTAGCTCAAGTCACGCCAGAATCGACGAAAAATGTACGGTCACATGCGGATCCACACCTACTGCTTTCGCAATAAGAGGCCTATTAAAATTCACAAGCGTCGCTAATGGCATACTAGACACGTGGCTGAAAGGACAGACAAACACGGATTTCGAACTCCAATGGCCAGATTTCTGGCACATAGTCGATATATTAATGAATTACTATGAAACACTTATTGCTGTCTCTATACCTCTAATTATTAATATTCGTGCTCACCTACGCATGTCTACTTACTTGCACAATCCAAGTCGGATTATGTATGTTGAAAGCAATCAAGCTACTTTAACAAAATATCGGCAGCCTAATTTGTCTCATGCGGCTAATTCCCTGTAAAAAGTCAACTCCCACGCACACCAAACTACTGTAAATCGCTCAACATATGGCATGTTATAAATTTCTACTCAACGTGCTCTACTATTCTACTCTAATATTCGCTTCGCTACCGTATTTTTGCCATATAACAGCCCTAAATTTCCACTCAACTTGCTCTACTATTCTACTCTACTATTCACTACCGTATTTTCGCCATATAACACTCCAACAGGCAACCAGCAGCAACATCAATACGACCTAGTATATAAACAAAATGCTGCACCATAATATTAATAACCAATTCCAGATATCAAACAAAATGGACAAGGCTACTCAAACTCCACGAGTACCACAGAAAGACGCCAGCATACAAACACCAATCAAAGCATTTCTCCACGCAGCAACACAAACGGGAACCGACAACACCGAGCCAACTACCAGCAGTGCAACATAAACGAGGTGTTTCCACCCTACAGGATAAGCCAATATCGCGATACAAACACTGCTCCACAAAGGATCAGGCTTGTCATCAATGGTGACACAAACGGTTTGACTCTCAGCCGAACATTCATTCCCTGTGCTCTTTCGAGAGGGCGGGGGGGGGGAGGGGAATATGCAGAAGATTCTTCACGAACATTAGAATGTACTCTATGTCAAACATTATTTCGAATACTTTTTCCCATAACCTTTTTCCTATAACGATCTGATAGCCGTATGTCTAACATTTCGTTGGCGGTTATCTCATAAAAATATCTGCAGTTACAGTCCTAGGTTTTGACTATCGCCTTATCAGATTGCAATGCTTGAGAAATGTTTCCAGCACCGGTCTTTCCGCCTACTGCAGTTTGACTCCGCCCAGCGCAAAATGTGTATAAACGGCTCCACGGTTAGCTAGCCCATGTCACAGCAATGCTGCCCAAGTGACCGTGTCCTTCCCTTATATTCATCTCATGTAGTAAAAGTTATATGACAATCTCTTCACTCATAAGCAACCTGAACACCAGTGATCAGGCGGCGCCTATTCATTACCCGCATCATTGTTGCATTAATTGTACAGTCGCATTGTTATGCCATAATTGTTGTATAATTACGATAAACGGTTTAATTATCAAGTTTGAAGTGTCCGGCATTGTGACTGCTATTCACAACAAGTCCCGCGTGGCACAGACAAAGGCGAGCAGCTTGTTCCAACCGAATCGTCATAACTACTTGGTATTCCTATATCTATAAGCCGTCCCAACACCTTGTTTTCGCTAGAACTATCGTTCTGTTTAGACTGCAGCTCATGGTCCTCTTAAAGGTCCGTTTAAACTGCTCGATTTTCAGACAGTCCGGGAAATATAACGCGCAAATTAGAGGGTTGGCAATGGGACAGCGACTGGCACCGACCGTTGCCGTAGCCTTTATGTCTAAACTGAAAGCACCAGTAATCTATCTCAGGCCAATACTCCACTGTAGGTGTATAGATGGTGTGATTGTGTTGACATCTGCTTCACACAAGAGGAGATGGACAAATGCTTTGAGTTATTGGACGAACAGTCAGAGCACATAAAATTCATCCGTGAGAAACCGAAAGAAAACTGGCTTCCATTTCTAAACGTTCAAATCAACCTATCCGAAAACGGCTACAACACAAAACGGTATCGAAAGCCAAGCAGTAAGAATATAGTGGTTCATTACCTCTCCTTTCATTCCTCACACACTAAAAAATCGCTTATAAGAAATATGTATGAAATAAATCCTAGCTTGCTTAAGCAGATTTCTAACTTTAATATACACCACTGTTCTACATTTTCTTCAATATTCATTCTTTCGTCAGATAGAAGCATCA